ATAGCCTGATGTGGGCTGAGAACTACAGAGAACATGAACATTCCACTGTGGCTGTGGAGGTGGAAGAGTCTTCCCTCTTTGTTCATCCCTGTGAGGAAGAGCAGCACTGATGTCCTCTTCATCTATTACAGCAATAACAATAATGTTAAACTGCAGTTTCAGCTCCTTGTCCTCATAATAAACTTGTCTTGTGACTGTCAAGTATTTACTCTCCACCGTAAGCTGGGCAACACCTTTATTTCATCCATTTATTACATACTTTGACACATCTTTCCACTTCTGAATTATTAAATAATGTTGTTTTTAAATATGCAATAAAGGTATTAATGAAGCTCTTGCACTGAATGTGATGATGTTTTATTGCTGCACATCTGCTATAAATGACAGCAACATGTTGTCCGTATTGTAATTATGCAACAACTGCAGAGATGAATTTAAGGGCTTAATACATAACTGGACAAGTTTCTGGGGAAAACCTGGTCTCTATGGCTCCTATAGAGACTGTGTCTGCCCCCCGACCACCCAGATTCTACAAGTCTAACATTAGCAACAGAAGGGCTGTTCATAACAACCGTCTCCAAGTTAATTGAACTCCATCAGCACCAAAACAACAGGACAATTAAATGTGGACTATTAAATATTAGATCTCTGTCATCTAAGTCTCTTCTAGTTAATGATCTGATAACAAATCATCATATTGACTTAATGTGTCTGACTGAATCCTGGCTGCAGCATGAAGAATGCGTTAGTCTAAATGAATCAACTCCCCCTAGTCATATTAATGTTCATGTACCTAGAAGTTCAGGCTGAAGGGGAGGAGTGGCAGCAATTTCCACTCAAACCAATTAATCAACCAGAGACCAAAACTTCATTATAATTTGTTTGAAAGCCTTAGTCTTAGTCTCACACATTTGAATTGGAAAGCTCAAAAACCAGTTGTGTTAGTTGTTATTTATCGGCCACCAGCCCCCTACTCTGAGTTTCTGAATTCTCAGAGTTCTTAGCTGATTTAGTGCTCAGTCCAGATAAAGTCATTATAGTGGGTGACTTTAATATCCACGTAGATGATGAAAACAAAAAGCCTCAACTCTGCATTTAGCTCATTGTTAGACTCAGTTGGCTTCTTCCAAAATGTAAATAAACCAACTCAATAGTTTTAACCATACCCTTGATCTTCTTTTGACATATGGCATAGAAATCAAACATCTTACCCTTTTTTTTAAACAAAACTGTATCCTGTCTGATCATTTTTAAGAACATTTGAATTTACAATAATGGACAATCGAACACCTACCAAACAGATCCATTACAGCAGATGTCTAACCGATAAT